TCTTCCAAATGCGTGCAGTTCTTTGATATCGTGCGCACTTTTACTTGCGCTTGGTTGAACACCCCCTCCCCAATCTCCTACACCTCATCTTCTTCCTCACTGTGACCGTCCACACCACCATCCATTTCACTGTGGCCCTAATAAATGATAGGGGCTTGATTAATATTGATGGCGTTGTCATCCAACTTGTGCACAAACTCGGCAGTTGCATCATGCAAACTGACGCTACAATTTCGCTCCACAAGTCATGAACAATCGCAATGGCGAAAACTGAGAACAACTAGAAGAAAATCAAAGTTCAATACATTGTGCCCATTCCGTCTAACAACTCAGGGGCAGCAGCAACAGCATCGTCAGCGGGCGTCCTCGGGGAAGCTCTTGCGGTGGCGATCAAAGGAGGTGGTGGCGTGGTGCTCGCGGTACCTTTTGTGGCCGCCTTCTTGAGTTTGACCCCGCCACCTTGCCCATCTTCACCGGCGGGGTGGGGATGGCCTGGACTGGATTCGCAGCGGCGCCGGGTGCGTATGCCTTCCCTGCGGCTATGAGAGCGCCGCTCCAGACGAAGTTGGTCTGGCGCTTGCGGGGAAGGGCGGTCGAGGCTTCAATGGCGATGGGTGCTACACGGCCGACGACGAGATCTGCCTGAGGGAGTGTTCTATCAAGAGCAAGATGATGATGATGTGGTCAGAAATGATGACGCTAGACCATTGGGTCATGATGATGTGGATCCAAATGATGACGATGCATGGAATGATGGTGAGACCATTGTTAATAAAAATGACATACTTATGCTAGAAAAGTTAAACGAAGACACTGACAACGAGGAAGAGCCTCCACCTCTGTCAGACAACGAAGAAGATATGATTGATAGAGATGATGAGACCGACCGAGAAATAGGTTACAACAGTGATGATTCGTATGGGTTCTAGTAGATGTATGTTTCAAGTCTTTTTTTCTATGGTTTACGAATATGCCTTTTTATGATTCTTTATTAATGTGTTTATTATTCCTTATTATTATGCCTTTTCCTTTATTATTAATGTACTAATTGTTTATTCTCTTTTCAATGCAGGTTCATGGAACATGGGCAAGGGGAAGGTCGACGGCGCGGGTTTCCTACGCAAGGTCGTTGGCATGCTTAGTCGAAGTGGTCGAGCACATAATCCTACCCCCCGACTACTTGAGGATAACTCCTCATAGGGAGGTCAAGGGAGAGGTGCCCCTAGAGGAGGAGGGGGCGGGGGGAGCACCCCTAGAGGGCGAGGGGATGGGGGAGATCCACTAGAGGGGGTCATGGCCAGACAGAGCGCACCCTCACCGACTTAGGGGTGTTGTCTTCGAGGCCCTCCTCTAGTGAGGTACCCTCTACCGTGGAGG